TTGTGGCAGTACTTGTGGTAGTGATGGTAGAGAGTGCTGTGGTGCAGTGGTTAATTTTTTTTGCTGGTGTTACCAAAAGTTGCCGTTGGTTTTTTGGTGTTGTCATGATATTGTTATTTGATTATTGCTATTTTTAGAAGTGGTAATGGTGATGGGAATGCTGCTGCTTCTGCTGCCGCCACTGATGATGTTGGTTGTGCTGTTGCAGTTTTTATTGTTGTTGTTGTTGTTGTTGTTGTTGTTGTTGTTATTGTTGTTGTTGTTGTTATTGTTGTTATTGTTATTGTTGTTGTTACTGTTGTTGTGAGTGGTAGTGGTAATGGTAGTGGTGATGATATTGTTGTTGTTGTTCTTTGTGGTGGAGGTGGTGGTGGTGGTGGTGGTAGTGGCAGTGCTGATGGCATTGTTGTTGTTGTTAATTCACCTCATTTTCGAAGATTCCCTCCACGCTGAAGGCCAGACTGTCAGCCACAACTTCATCACTACCACGACTGTAGTACGCCAGCAGGTGTCCTGTAGGTGCCATAGCTGGAGTCACGGGCAGTTCAAAGTCCACAGACTTCTGGAAGTTTGCGTGCACCAATCCGTAGGAGACTACGACCCCACGTGACATAACCTGATCAGAGATCGCACAACAAAGTTTGATTATGAGACTTATACCCAGTGCACTCTGCCAATCGAATTTATCGGACAGATTTGGTGCCAGACATAGTTTCCTTCATGGAAGGGGCAAAAACAACAATGTTGGCACAATTCGACCTGTTTGACTTGCGATCTTGAACAAAAAGAAGCTCGTTTGATTTTGAATGCAACAGTCGAATTTAGCAGAATTCGATCGCTTAGTGCAAAATTAGAGCTATTGCCCCATCAATGAAGGAAAATCTGGTTGGCCCCGAATTAGTCCAAATGTGATTGGCAGTGGGCACTGGATATTACGCACTACGAAATCCTTTGAGGACGCCCTGTTTTGTGGCACTTAAAAAGAGAACCCTCACTTCGTCTATTGATGAATCAGATATATTATGTGTCCTCTACGTCCTTTAAGAGATTATTACTATAAACAAGTATAGGACTACAGATAAACGGAGTAAATAAAAAAGACAGATGAAAGGAAGAAAAAACAAGAATGTTGGCAAAATGTTTTAATGTCAAATAAATACACATTTGCGATTAAACTGTTAGTGGATCTTTTTCCGAACTTTTGGGAAGGAAAGGTAATTCGTGTTGATAGGTATTTAGCCTATTTGTAAGTCTAAACTGGCAAACTAGTGATAAGAGAGTGAGAGAGAGAGAGAGAAAGAGAGAGAGAGAGAGA